AACATGATAAAAAAGCTAAAGAAGCACTTATCCGATTAGCAAAAGAAGCTCAACCAATAGGAATGAAAGGTAATAATGTTGCTCTTTTTGGTTTAACATCAACTGGAAAATCAACAATGCTCAATAGTCTTCTTGGTGAAAAAAAAGCTGCAACAGGTGTTGGTGAAACAACTTTAGAAGTTGCATCGTATGCTGGACGAAATTTCGTTCTTTGGGATATTCCTGGTCGAAATGATGAAATTTCGTATATGAGTATGCAATATATGTCATTCTTCAAAGGATTAACTCGACGTCTTATTCTTGTTCAACATACTGTCAAAGAAAATTCAAGCATAATGAAATTATTGGATGCTATTGGAATAAATTATGATATTGTTGTCAACAAAATGGATCGTGTTGAAGAAGAAGAACGAGCAGAATTTTGTGAACAAATACGACAAGAAATTCAGAAAATTGGATTGAAAGGTGTAGGTCGTGTATTTTTTGTTAGCGCGAAATATCCGGCGCAATTTCCCGACTGGCTTGAAATGGTCAACTATTTAACAAATTCTCCAAAATAATAACACTGACAAATTCCTTAATTCTCGCTTTATTTTGACTCGGTACGTTTGCAGATTTTTTCGAAGATAATCTCGCGTCGATTGTTCTTTGAAAAGTTCGTTTTGTGTCTAACTATTATTAGTTAGATTTTCTTACTGTATAACTGTCGTATTCTTCAATAATACATCTTTTGCTTCTTCTCTTAGTAAATTTTCGTAAACATTATCTGTAGGTATTCACAACTGATCGACAAAAAGAAAATAAACTAAAACTGAAGTTGCTCAACCCTCTATCATTCGTTTAAGCGGTAAGTGCATGCTTATTATTTCTTAAGATCAAACAAGAATGTGGTTGAATGAAGCATCGATTCTACACTGAGTGAGACGCTGATGATCAACAACAACCAAGCAAACTGTTTCGTGTTATATCTGTAATTAACAAAAGCTAGCTGAATTTTTCCTCCCTGTAGATCCTTATGTACGGATATTCGCGAAGTTATGCAACTCCCGCATCAAAATCTTTTTCGCACAACATTGGTATGCTATAAGCAATGCCACGGATGAAACAGAGATGACAATAAACGATTGTGCATGAAGAAGGATGAGACATCCCATGAGAGCACTGTATATGGAAATCATCAACAGTGTAGTAGTTTCAACGACTCATTGTGCCCATCTTTAGTTTTTATAGAGGATTCAGAAAACTTTTGATTGCATATAAAATGAACGGTTTCTGTTGTTTTTCATTTTTTTGACGAACTCTTAATCTTTAAAATCATTCATCAGCTGTGGAAAGAAAGATACCGGTATTGAACTTGATCGATGAGATAAAAGCTTTTTTTTTCTTATATTTGAAAATACAAAGGAAACATGAAAATGGCAACTATAGAAAAACAACGATAAAACATTGAACAGTTGACCAAGTTCGATTCTATATATACCGTCTATATTGATTCGTCGATTATAGGTACTATTACAGTAGTGGACGATTCGGTGAAATTACATATCGTATTTTTTAGATTCGCTCTTGTATAAATCTTGTTCATAACGTATTAATTGTATCAAAAAATCATCTTTCTATCAAGTAATCATAAGCTTCATATAATGTTTCATTCTGATATCTGTAAAATGACACATAAAAGATTGAAATTTTGAGAAAAATGAGTGTCTTTTCTGCACTTTAACAGATGAAAGAGAAACGCTTGCATGACAATGAATTAGAACGCTTTCATTCTTGGATTTGCATGTATGTAAAAATTCATTCGTTTGATCGAAATATTGACTTCGATATGTCTTGTAGATTGATCGATAACACGTTGAAATGATTCAATATCTCTTATTGTCAAGGGCAAATCAAATACACTAAGAATATGTCGATTGTTGAGTTTGTTGAGAAGCTCCTTGTTTTGTGTATTATTCAGATTGACATGATACAGAAAATCGTTGATAATCGCAGATGGAAAATCAAAAACTTAATATTATATTGTGTGGAGTCATCTCAATGGCTTGAGTTTATACAAACATTTCAAATACTCTATTTCCTCACGTTTAGCTTGCATAGCCTTCTTTAAATCATCAAACCACTCGTCTTCGATATTGTCGACAACGGACGTCTCTTTCATTTTGTTAGCACAATAATTACAAGCAATGCTCTTGCTTAAAATCTATCCAAAGCAAGCAGAAGATGTTTTGCATAAAATTTTCATTGTTTTTGTCCTTAAAAGTATAGATTGTCGATACTCAAAAACATTCTTCTTTTTGTTCTTTGAACTACGTAATTCTTCTAATTAAAGATGAGTAAGCTCGAGACCAAATATTTTAATATTTCATGAAACTTCAGTAGAAATCCGAAAGTATAAATCAAAAATGAAACCTTAATGGTATTCAGATTTCCGAATGACAAGTTCTGCTACTTTGATTTACACCATAATCATTTTTCCATCACATAGAAATAAGCAGTATATGCATTCATTGAAGATTTAACAATGCTCGAACTCTCTCGAGCACAAACTATGACATAGCTACGCGTAGAGGACTTTATATAGAAGTGCGAATGAGATGAGATTTTTCATACTAGAAAAATTCCATCGAGAATATATTCACTGAAAAATAAGAAGAAATGTCAGATAGAGAACTAACTCGAGTTACTGGTGTGTGTAATAGCAGTTGTTAGCGAATAGTTGCAATGTATTTTAACAGTATATATAGTGTCACTTTAAAAACAACAAAAGAAACAATGAATAAATATGTTTGCAATGATTTATTTTCCATATTATCGCATTACGAAGAAAGAGTGAAGGAAAGAAAAAAAATCGCATTGAATAGAAAATTTGCCCAGAGCTAAAAACAACGAATTATACTCGCATGAATATTTTTGCCAGATTTTGCAATCTTGAGACGTAGATAGCGTACCCGTTATCGCAACCTGGCGAAGGATCAACAACAGGTTCGGTCGCTGTCTTTTATAAATCTGATAGAAACTCCAACACTGATGGGTGTGGGTCTGGCTAAATAACATAAATAAACACTTCACATCTCAAGAATTCAGTTTTATTGTTGTTTCATACAAATATTACTCGTGTATAACTAGCCGTATTTGAAAAACATCTTTGTTTTCTTGTTGTCTGTTTCAGGAATACAGAAAACAACAGTTTCAAAAGAATGTGTTTTTTCTCAGTAAATCCGTTCATTGTTATATTTATACTCCTCAATCTTATTATTGTTTTAGATTTTTCTTGTAGCTTCCTGATATTCATTCCATATTCTCATAAGCACAGTTATTACAATAGAAATAGACAAATCGATTTTTTTATCATTTATTTTACTGTTTCTATGAAAGAGTTTGATTGTCCTTAGTCTTTCTGTCGAAAAATATTAATATTGAGTATTTTTAGTAGAACCATGATGAAAAATCGAATGATGGGGTGTGGGTGTGAGTATTGTTTTACTCCTCATAGCAACACACCAAGCCCACACCCACGACTATGAGTCATTATTCGCATCATCTTGAAAGAAATGGAATTAATCAACCTTGGAGTACTCACAAAAATTTAGAAAATAATATATTATATATTTGTAAATTCCATTGATTAAAAATGAAATTTTAAAATATCAGTATATAACGGGAATCCGTTATTTAAAAAAATTAATCGGTGGATTGATAAGTTGGTAACAAAAAAGAATGGAATTTGTATCATGTTAGTGGAATTTTCCCTACAACAAATGATGAAAGAAGTTGAGAAATGTAATTTCCCATCACGATACGAACATTGTTACTGATGATTGAAAAAGTAGTTGATTATGAAAACATTAAAGTTCCATCACATTTTCGGTATAAAAAAACACACTCCAGGCTACTTGTCCTTTGAAAGAGTCTATGGGGAATTTTTGAGGTCATAGAAAGTGAGCCAAACATGTTAACCAAAGAAACGTGGTTCACTTCATATAGACACAATGGACCAATAAAAATGCGAGTCCTTACTTTACCGCCATCCAACTATTTTCCCAAAACAGGACAATAGTACCCAGAACCCGAAAGTACTATTCCCAAAACAGAACAATTGTGTTCTGTTTTTGGGAATAGTACTTCCGGTTTTAGACCACTTTTGTTCTGTTATGGGAATGGTACTTTCGGTATCAGAGTACCATATATTTCAAATGGGTATAGTACGGACTAATGGACTACACTTTGACTCACTTCATACGACCAATTTTTGAATAGTTTATTTTACTCCATAGTCATGTAAGATAATCAAAATTGGAGTATCGGATTAACGATTTATGCTAGAAAAAGTGACGTATGAGACTCTAATTTTTGTTGAAAACGATTTGTGTAAAAATAAACTATGTATGTGAACTTAAATTAATCTATGCTATTCTCTTTTTCTTTTCAATAACACTTGCAACAAATTGCATATTCTTCTCATCCAAGCCATCCGTTAGCAAGGAGATATATTAGCAAAATTAATTAGAAACGAATGATTATTAAAGATGTTAGACTTGATTATTCTTTCTTGAATTCGATTACTCTTGATAAATAGTTGTTTTTTAATCTATCTTGCTACCGAGATTTGCATTACTGTTGACATCATCAAGTACGCACAATTATTGCATGCTGTAATTTAATTATGCATTGATTTCAAGTTATCTAAAAGACTAATAAAAGGAAAAACCTAGTTCTGATTTCATGAGCTCGATGATGGTTTTAATAGAAGTTAAGTATCCTAATAGAGTTGTTACTTTTCTCTGTCTAGGTCAGAAATGTACTGATTCCTATGATGTTATGCAAGTGTGTTCAAAAGAAAAGATCCGAAGACTTGTAGTTATATTGCCAAAAAGGATAGCCATTGATTGCTTGACATACAATCTTAGGAGTTTATGGGACTTTTTGTGAGTAGGATGCGGTTGTGACGGTATACAAAAGAAGAGTGATTATCTATGAAATTAAGATAGTTTAATATAGTATTACATGTATTCCTTTTAAATGGATGATGGACATTTTTATTTCGCTGGATTCATTTGATACATGATGCACATGATAAGCATTTTGCCTCGCCAAACATATGAAAAAGCGGGTGAGACTAACGTGATCGATTAAAGTCTTGAATTTCATTCCAAGAGAGAAACAGACAGAAAAAGCTGTTCACTACTTATTAAAATTTTGCACTTCGGCTACTGAGAGGAAAAACAAAGCTTAGCTGAGAAAATATCTAATCAAAGTTGAAAAATTTTATCATGTCAAGTTTAGCTGTTGGAAGACGAAGCAATCGTGTAAACACAATCTTGACTATTCGTTCAAAATCAAGTAACTTAAGGTTATCGTATTGATCATTCAATATAGGATAGAAATACTCGGCATTGGCTACTGCTTTTAGGAAACAATCAAGTAGAATCAATAATTGTGGCACAGTCATATCAGAAAAGAGCTCAGAACAACAGCTGAAGTGAACGAAGTTCGTTAAGTTGGAACGAATCTTGAATCGCATTGCTATGATACAAACAATCAAGAGAGCTTCAATTTG